CACCAGTGTGCTGCATGGTGCGCGCAGGTGCACAGTGCGGTGGGCAGTGCGCTCGCTGCGACCGGCGCGTCCGGTGCGCCCGAAAAAAATAAAAAGATAAACATGCCCCTCTCCCCCTCCCTCCTGCAACCAGGCCGCCCCCCTTGCCCACATTCTTCCCCCGGGTCTCCTCAATCGTGGAATGTTTCTTGATCTGGTCCCGGAGGTGCTTGGTTGCCGCTGGCTTCCCCCTCCCCTGCACGACATCAACAACAAGCATGACAAAGTGGCAGACACAGCGATTTCAGCCCTCTCACACACCCTAAATCTGCGTTCTGCATACAAACCCCCCTCTCTCTGAAGGCTCATACACCCTCTATCTGCCCACTCCCAAAAACAAAACTAGGCTTCCTGAGTTGCCCGGCGGGGCCGGCACGGCCGTGCGCACCTGTGCGAAGTTTTTTTCTTTTTTCCCTTTTTTTTAAGAAGTGATGGGGGGCTGCTGCGCATGCAGAGAACTGCCCGAATCTGCCTTTTCCACACATGCAGAGAAGTGGTGATGGCGGGGAGGCGGAGGACAGCAGGAGGGAGGAAGAAGATGGCGGAAGAAGAGGACCAAAGTGGTGGGAGGGAGGCAGAGCATGGTAGGTGGGACGTGGGAGATGGCGATAGGGGAAGTGGGAGGTAGCGGGAAGTAGGTGGGAGACGGCGGGGTAAATGGCGGGAGGGGAAGTGGGAGGTGGCGGGAGGTAGGTGGGAGAAGGCGGAATGGAGATTCGATATGGCGGAAGGGAGGTAGGAGGAAGACGGCAGAAAAGAGGTGGAAGATGGTGGAATAGCAGGAACGAAGTGGTGGGAGGGAGGTGGAGGATGGCGAAAGAGCAGGAACGAAGTGGCGGGAGAGAGGTGGAGGATGGTGGGAGCGACGAGGGAGATGGCGGGAGTGGAAGTGGGAGGTTGTGGGAGGGACGAAGGGGGTGGCGGGAGGGGAAGTAGGCGGGAGCGGGAGGGAGAGTAGGAGGGAGTGGGAGGGACGAAGGAGATGGCGGGAGGGGAAGAAGACGGTAGATGGCGAGGAAGGAGAAAAAGAAGAAGACGAAGCAGAGAAAAAGTTAGCATTTAAAATTCTGAACACCGTGCTGGGGCCGCACGGGGCACCTGCACGGCCGTGCGGCCGTGCAAGGATCCGTGTGTGTTGGGGGCACCCATGCGCACGGAAATGAAGCCTCGAAAAAAAAACGAATTCCTGTGTGTCAAAGAAATTACGAACAACTGACGGCAAAAAAGCATGAGAAATTCCAGCCCCCCCCTCCAAAAAAAAAAAAAAAAAAAAAAAAAAAATAAAAAGGAGGGGACGAGAAATGGAGATATGGAGGAGGGGACGAGAGATGGAGATATGGAGGAGGGGACGAGAAATGGAGATATGGAGGAGGGGACGAGAGATGGAGATATGGAGGAGGGGACGAGAGATGGAGATATGGAGGAGGGGACGAGAGATGGAGAGATGGAGGAGATACCATGCCAGTTCGAAGTTCGAAGTTCGAGGTTCTCACGTATCTGTGTGTTGACGAAGCTGTGACAAGGATGATGAGAGGTGGAGATCTGGAAGAAGGGAGATGGAGGAGGGGAGGAGCAATGGAGAGGTGGAGGAGAAAAGATGGACGAGGAGGAATGGAGGAGGGCGACAAGATATGGTGGAGGACGACGACGAGAGAGAGAGAGAGAGAGAGAGAGAGAGAGAGAGAGAGAGAGAGAGAGAGAGAGAGAGAGAGAGAGAGAGAGAGAGAGCGACTCTTCATGGCGAGGGTGTGTGTGTAGAAAACAGATCCCATGGCAAATCCATCCCATGCACCCCACCACCACAGTGGTACACCAGGCCCTGGTCATGTCCAGACTAACGCTCTCTGCTGCCGCTTCTCTGAAGCTACCTCGTACATATGTGGCTTACCATGACCAGCTTTCTTAGAGTCCCACATAGGATGGTGGGCATGGGGGAGGCGGGAGGGCAGACTACACAGGCAAAGAAAAAAAGCGAAAAAAAAAGCCCAGGCCAGAGGTGAACAATAGGCGGCAGGAGGGCAGATGACATTCAAACACACCGGGCAGGCAAACCAAAAAATACAAGTCCCAAAAAGTCGAAAGACCGAAAAAAATAAAAGCTGATGATGATTGATTGTTTCGTCGAAGCTGCACCGGCTCATCCGGAGGATGAACCCTCGACAATCTGCGGAATCGCCGTATTGATGGTGTGGGACTTTGGGTCATGAACCCTTTGACCCATGTTGAAGGCAGACTGTCCCCAAGTGGGACATAGCAGCAGGCAGCAACCCTGCAGAGCACCACGCAACGCAGTAGTAGGGGTAGCTCAACTGCTTATCACCAAAGACAACTGCAAGGAATTACAGGGCAAGCGGACGAGCAGCTCGGCAGTTAACGGAGACCCTAATTTTCAGACCACTTGCCATGATGCCATTTATAAGAAAACCAGAGGGTCATTTGAATCAAACTCGCCACCAATTCGTAGAGTGGAGACCATACGAACTAACTGGGGGAAAAAAAAAAAATCCAAAAAAATCCAATAAAAAACATATAAAGTGAAGCGCAAGGCAACATCAGCAAGGCGACCAGACTACAAGGCACGCAAGCAAGTAAAGGACATTGAAGGCCAACAGGGCAAGCGGACGAGCAGCTCGGCAACCGTGCAGTGAAGCACAATTTCCACCAACAAGGCAACCAGACTACAAGGCATGCAAGCGAAGGACACTGAAGAAAGCAGACGAGCAGCTCAGCAACCGTGCAGTGAAGCGCAGAGGACAACCACAAGGCTACCAGACCACAAGGCTACCAGACCACAAGGCACGTGAGCAAAAGACACGCAAGGCACGGCCAGCGGATGGGCGGCAAGGCAGCAGAGCAGTGAGTAAGACCTGCGAAGCAAGCGGCACGGGCAGCAAGGCAGCGGCAGAGCGCAGACAAGACAGTCTACACATCCAACACGGAGCAAAGCGGCACATGACCTACTCACATCACGAGTTAACCCCACAGACTGTTGGTTCCCACCACCCGCTGAGCCAGGGAATCACCGAGACGAACATCTGTCATCACCTGCAGAAGACATAGACATCCCAAACTGAGCAGCCCCCCTAAGAGTGCTGTAGGCACTCCGAACGAGGAACCACTGACTGGTTGGCACAGCTTAAGGGTGCTCAGCTAGGGAGTCGTAGGGACACAAAAGGCACTCAGAAAAAATGAGAAGGCATACAAAGGAGAGAGAAACAAACAGACAGAGATAATGATTGTGTGTGTGTGTGTGTGTGTGTGTGTGTGTGTGTGTGTGTGTGTGTGTGTGTGTGTGTGAGAGAGTGTGTGTGTGTGTGTGTGTGTGTGTGTGTGTGTGTGTGTGTGTGTGTGTGTGTGTGTGTGTGTGTGTGTGTGTGTGTGTGTGTGTGTGTGAGAGAGAGAGAGAGAGAGAGAGAGAGAGAGAGTGAGAGAGAGAGGGAGCTGGTGGGTGCCCACCTTCATGGCTGCCTCCTGCCGCTGCCTGGCGCTGCCTGGCGCCAGAGATGAGCATTTTTTTTTTTAATTGGCACTTCACCCAACCCGGTCGTAATTTTTTAAGCACATCCCACCCTCGAAGAAACAAAAACAAAAAATCTCAAGGTGACCCAAACCACCCGAGTGTTTTTTCAAAAATTTCCCCCCACACCCAACCCGCCCGTCACCCGTAAAAAACCTTCACCCTGACCCACCCACACCCGCGAGAACAGAATTACCCATCCGCACCCGGTACCTAATTATTATC